AAGCCACTCCCATCCGGTCACATGGGCGGCAAGCCACTCCCACAAAGGAGGCCACACCCACAGAGTAGGTTCGAACAATTTTTGAAACCCACCACTGACTATAGTGTAGTGCAGGGTGTGAGCCCAGCTACTTAATTCTATTGCCGTCGTCGTACGGTTCTGAGTACCAAATACTTGTGAATTGATTTTGCTTGTTCTGCTTCTGGGTTTCCTTCCAGCTGATTTCTGACTGGCTATAGATGTGGCTTAGACCTGATTCAGTAGAGATTCATGCCTATCAAAACTGATAAGGCATCATGTGGCTTATTCCAAACAAAGCAATTCATTCAGTGTTCCCTAAGAGACAGTCTCCTGTCTTTTGGCTGATGTAAATGTTCTGGTCCAAGTTACTCGCTAAGTAAAGGAACTTAACACAGCAACCCCACCTAAGAAAAAGAGCATAAACAAAGATCATGAAAACTGAAGAAGGGCAGAAGTTCCTTCATTACATAGCAAGCAAGCTACATGGTATCTCCCTTCTCTGTTTGCAATTTTCACCCAGATGTTCTCCATCCTAGATGAAAAATATCAGCAATTGCCATTGGACAACGTATTTTCTGGCCACAGTGCTTTCCCTGCTTTAGGGAGAACTGCTGTGGCCCACCAGCAGCCAGCACAGCTGGCAGCAGTCGGACAGTGAGGAGGTTGGACCAGTCCTGGAGGCTGGGGAAGGCTCAGACAAGGGCTTTGCATCGGAGGCCAAGGCCATCTGGCAGTTCTCAGCTACCTTCGGAGCTAGACAGCAGTGAGTCAAAGGAACAGCTGGAGCCCATTCCCAGTGTGCGCATGCGCAGAGCTGCCAGAAGAAAAGAACAACTCAGAAATCAGTGTCGATTTGGGAGTAAAGCCACAAGTGGATGGTGAATGGTCCCTCCCATAGGAAATAAAAGAGGAGCGAAAGGGAAGTGGGCTTTTGCAGGAAACAATTTGTTCATTCGTTTCAGGAGTGTGAAGATCTGTCTGTGAATCTCAGAGACTCTGTGCCTTGTACAACACTGTGTTTGGAAAATATTTACATGGCAGCTTTCCGAGCTAGATAAGGTCTGTGGTCATAAATTCACCTTTGAAAGACTGTTTACCAGGCCTTTGCTGAATGTGAATGGGAGGAGTTGACATTGATTTAATAAAAGGGATTTTGTCAAGACCAGGAATCTGATTCGGGCTTTTTGGGGAAGCCTAGGTCAGAAGAGAAACTATGATGGTTAAAGGCTTAGAAAAAGCTTACAAAAAGATGAATGCCTTTACCGAACAAATACCAACCTCGTCAAACGTGATCTCTTCATAATCCCAGTTCTCTATGTTGAACAGCAATACCACCCGACCATATTTATCCCTGTTGCACAAAATGCCAGGGTAGCCAGCCTCAATGGTACTCCGTACTGCCTCGGGTACCAGGTTTTCGAAGAGTTCTGGATACTGCTGACGGAAGTTGACGTAACCTGGAGTCAGGGATAGAGGCTCTAACAGTGCCACATTTAGAGATGCTACATGGGCCAACAGCTCAACAATCAATTTAAAACTTGACGTTTCCAAGGTGGAACTGGTAACAGAGGCAGGGTTTCTTCCCAGTTAAGAGCTGGATGCTTTGAACGACAAGTTAATCCACTCCAATCAGTAACTCAATAAACTCAACACTTTTGTTGCGATACATAAATTACCCATTTTAATTTGAAGGAAGCCAAAGGGACAACGATACTTTTTGGAATTCATAACATGCATGCATAAAAAAATGTAATTTTACACACATGGACTTGAGCATGAATAGAACAACCTCTTAAAGCAAAAGACCTGCTTCTATCCGGATTCCAGTTTGTAGAGATGTTTCAATGAACATTCAAAATAAGTGCAAACAGAACTCCTCTGCAGAACTCCTTCATCTCAAAAATCTGAAACCCACTAGATGGCAAGTAGACAAATAGTATTGTAACAACTCCTATCTTTGACTAATGGAGGTGGTGGAGCTATTATACTGGTGACTTTTAAGAAGAGACTGGACAGCCACTTGTCTGAAACGGTATAAGGTCTTTTATTTGAGCCAGGGGGTGGACTAGAAGATCTCCAAGGTCCCTTCAAACTCTTTTATTCTGATTATTCTGTTCTGATAATGCTACTACCTGAAATTTGAGTAGGAATAGAAATAGAATAACAGAGTTGGAAGGGACCTTGTAGGTCTTCTAGTCCACCCCACCCTCCCCCTGCTTAGGCAGGAAATCCTACACCACTTCAGACAAATGGTTATCCAATCTCTTCTTTAAAATTTCCAGTGTTGGAGCATTCACAACCTCTGGAGGCAAGTTGTTCCACTGATTAATTGTTCTAACAATGAATCTCTCTTTCAAGGGCCATTGAGCCAGTGCTGTCCAAAGACATTTTCGCGATCATGTGGCCAGCAAAATATCAGGAAGCGCTGTTATATTCCCACCAAAATGGTACCTATTTATCTACTGGCATTTGCATGCCTTCAAACTGCTAGGTGGGCAGGAGCTAGGCGAGGACGGGAGCTCACCGCATCGCATAGCACTCGGGTTTGCCAACAAGCCCAGCCTCTTATCCACTGAGCATCACACCACCAAGCTATGAGCTGGATAACTGAAATCAGTAAATAAATAAACTTCAACCCCCACAGAGTAAGAGTTATGGATCTTTATGTCTGGAGGGAAGGGTCCAATGGAGGAATCCTCACCTTTAATCAAATCATACGCTCTGTTGAGATCAAACTTGCGGGCACGTATGAAACGGAGGAGGAAAGCGTCTTCCTTCTCCTGCATTTTATCAGCAACCGTTTTGCAAATGTCATCTCCATCTTTAGCTTTCTCCTGGATAAGCTCCCGAAGCTCTTTGATTGCTAATTCACGTTTCTCTGAGGTCTCGTTCAATTCATCTTTAGCCTAGAGATGAGCGCCAAAGATAATGTGACAGATAGACAATGAGTTGGAGGATCATACTGGAACCTCTGCTTTTCCTGGGAAAGTACAGGCAATCCTCAACTTACAACAACCATTTGTTTAATGACTGTTACAAGACACTGAAAAGTGTAATGATCAGTCCTTGCACTTTACAACTGTTGTAGCATCCCCATTTGACAAAAGTGTAGGTTCTTGCAACAAGCAAAGTCAGTGGGGGAAGCGGGATTCACTTAATAGCAATAATAAGTGAATCCCGCTTCCCCCACTGTCATTAGCCAGGAGATCACAATACTATTGCAGAGTAGTAGTTTGGCTCTGTTGTAGGAAATGCTTCCACGATTCCTAAGGTGTGCCACAGAAGGGCAAGCTGTCTTTGCACCAGAAATAAAGACAAGCGGATCTTTCTGTGTGGTCATCCAAGGCTCCTTCCATTCCCAGAGCCACCTGGCAAACAGGCACAGCAATTGGGAAGGTTCAGAGAGAAGGAATCTGACTGCCTGCACAGAACACCAACTCGTCTCCTCCTCACCAATGTGGAACCTATTTATCTACTCACATAGAACATGCTTTCAAACGGTGAGGTGAATGACGGGAACAGTGCTAGGACTCAAAATGCTGGATCAGAGACCATCTCTCCAGGGTCATCAAGCCACTAAGCCACCACACTGCCAACTGGACATGTGATTAACTCTATGACATGTGATTCACTTAACAATTGCAGTGATTTGCTTAACAACCGGGACAGAAAAAGCTGAAATATCAGGCACCACTCACTTTCTTAGCAATGGCAGTTCAGGGCCCAGTTGTGGTTTTAAGTCCAGGACTGCCTGTAGTCCTTTTCTCATTAACTGGAGGAACCCTTTCTAGCAAAATATACCCCCCACGCAAATTTTTATGGTACACAACCTGAAATCTGGATGCAGGATCAGAGTCCTTCCTGAAGTGGAAACCAAATTGTAACGGTTATGTATATGTAACAGGGAACATTTTTAAACCTGTGGGGAATTATCCTTTAAAGTAATGGTTCCTCTTCCATACCAAGAGTGATTGTCAATCAAACCAACATTTTGAACTAATGTGAACTGATATCCAAGTAGAGTCAACAGTTTGAGTCAGAGCTTACAATACACTACTGTGGTTAACACTGCCCTATTTTTTGGAGTTTGGTGCCATCCAGTGGCTGATAGGGAAAGATTAAAGACAAACAAGGTCCAGGCAGAAGAAGAACATCATGGAAGAGGAGGGGGAGGGGAAGAGGAAGAGGAGGAAGAGGAAGAAGAAGAAGAAGAAGGAGAAGGAGAAGGAGGAGAAGGAGAAGGAGAAGAAGAAAAAAAAATAATCATAGTTCTCTCTATCATCTAGGATAGTTCTCTCTATCATCTAGGCATGGCTTAATATTAGAGGATTTTAGGATTAGGTGGCCATGACTGTGAAGTAAATGGTTATAGCTCTTACAATGAATAAGATGATCAATGTTAGGTAGCTGAGTTGCCTGAGTGACATGCAAACTGGCACAAGGAACTTGCAGCCAAATATATATTTACAGTCCTCTCTGAAGCAGGACATCTGATCAGGATTAAAGCGGGTGGCAATGCCAGCCATGCCAATGGATCTGTGCTGAATGTTTTCCTTGGCCATCTTCCGCTTCTGCAAAGGGTCCTTGGGTTCCTGCTCCTGTCATTCTCCCCAATTTTCCATGACGTCGCTCACCTTCTGCAGGGTGTGTTCAGGGATCTTCTCATGCTTCCCAAACACGGGGCCATGGTCGCTGGTGCTCAGTCGCTCGAGTTTAGTCCGCAAAGCCTGCTCCTCTTCCGAAACAGGCCTGAAGGTGCCAGTCTGGGAATGAAATTGCAAGGTGAAAATAGCATCTGCCCGAATGGTGGGATTCAATTTTTTTTTTTACTAATGGTTCTGTGGGCGTGGCTGGGTGGGCCTGGCATGGCTTGGTAGGGGGGGGGTTGCTCTTCTCTGCACTCTTTCTAGAGTCTTGTTGTGGCTTGGCAGGAGCCGTTGGAGCTGCCACCAGACTCCGACAGCGAGGGGCCCTATGAGTCGGCCCTAGAGGATGTGGAGGACCCTAGACAGGATTCCGACTCCGAGCAGGGTGCAGAGAGACTGGTTGGCCACCAGGTAGCGCCTGAGCCTTGGATCAGTGGGGAGGAGACAAGAGAGAGTGATCCAGAAACCAACAGTGAGTTGTTCCGGGATGCACGCCATCGAAGGGCTACTCGGCGTCAAGAACAACTACGCAATTACAGAAGGTAATTACACTCAGCTGATGGTCATTAAGCTCCTCTCCAGACTATAAAGGAGACTGCTTGTGCCACGCCCTTCTTTCAGAAGTCAACACTTTGACTAAAGAGAAATGAACTTGGCAGGCTGGATTGCTGCCAGAGTTAGTCCGAATTGCTGTCAAGGTTTGTCGGACTTGCTGCCAAGGTCCTTATCTGTTTGTTTATTTGGCTTTCAGCCACCAAGATTCTGGTCTTGTTATTTTATGCTTGTCTCGGTTTTTGTTACTGGATGGAGGAGGGGGTCAGAACAGGATCCCATCCTTGTAAGGATCAAAATATTGTCTGTCTGTCTGACTGTCTGTCAGTCTGACTGTCTGTCTATCGATCGATCGATCGATCGATCGAT